ATACAGGTTCACCACTGTAACTTAATCTACTACCAATTCCCTTTCCTTAGCACCCAAAAGCTGTCAAAAAACAAACTGGCACATCCAAACTGGTATGCCCTTTGAGTTCTCTTTCACGAATCCATAAAAGCAGACTATGGTAACAAGACCCTACAGTCACCATAGATGAATAGTAATTATCAAATATAAAGATAAGCAGAAAACTGTGAACCATTCACTTAACAAATGTTTTGTTAAATGTGACCATAAATTGTATATATTGAGCACTTCTACAAGAACTCATCTAGGGGCACCTAAGTGGCTCAGTCAGTTAAGCCTCTGCTTTAGGCTCAGGTCGTGATACCAGAGTCTTAGGATTGAGCCCCACATTCTGCTCCCTGCTCAGCGGGTAGCCTGCTACTCCCCCTGCTTATGCTCCCTCTCTCTCAGGAAAAAAGAAGGAGGAGGAGGAGGGGGGGGGGAGGAGGCGGAGGAGGAGGAGGAGGAGGAGGACAACAACAACAACAACAACAACCACCACAACAACAACTACTCATCTAGATGTAGTAATGAGCAAGATAGACGAGGTCCTGATTCACACCAAGTATACATCCAAGCCCAGGAATTCTAGTGGAAGCATCAAACATTTGGGAAAAGCAACATCATGAAACGAAGTATCAAACACAAAGAATCTTTCAAAGAGAACAGAGTTAACACGCAAAGGAAAGAGTTAATGGAGAAAACAGAAGAACTGAAGCATCACTATTATTCTCAGATACTGAGGGAATACTTCATTTGTAAGATAAGAACAGATTGTGACAGGAGGAAATTCTGAATAAACACTAACATTTAGATATATGTGTATGAAATCTTAGAAAAACAAAGATAAAGAGAAATCCTATAGGTTTTCAGAGAGATATAAGAGATTATCAGGTATTCAAGGACTGGCTACAGTTCAAGTTTAAAAGAACTATGAAAGGGCATATTTTATCAAAGCAAACAATGAAACAAAGACCATAAAGAGAACAAAGGGCAAAAAGATACATAACACTATAAATATTTTAAAAACATCAAATATTTTCATGGAAATAGACATACAATAAAAATATAAAGACATTTATGGCCGCCATACATGAGTGTAAGAGGGAACGAAATGGGGGAGGGCTTCTCTAAGAAGAAGGAACCACTAGCAGCAGAATCATAAAGAAGAAACGTGAAACTTTATTAAGAGTCTTTTCTTGGGACACCTGGGTGGCTCAGTGGGTTAAAGCCTCTGCCTTCGGCTCGGGTCATGATCCCAGGGTCCTGGGATCGAGCCCCGAATGGGGCTCTCTGCTCAGCGGGGAGCCTGCTTCCTCCTCTCTCCCTGCCTGCCTCTCTGCCTACTTGTAATCTCTATCAAATAAATAAATAAAATCTTTAAACAAACAAACAAACAAACAAAAGAGTCTCTTCTTGCTCTGGTGAAGAGTGTGGATAGCAGTTAAATCTAGAAATTGATAAAAAAAAAAAGTTTAAATACATATGTTAAAAGTTTCAGGTTAACCACTAAAAATCAACTTGAAATAGATATTTTTTTAACTTCCAAATCATCAAGAAACGATACAGAGAAGACAACCAGTGTAAAAGACCATAGACTAAGTTCAACTAAATCAATAATCACAGTAAGTGTGGGTTAAATTCACTTTTACAATAGACTGCCATATTGGAGTTTGTTTTCACCTGATTTTTGTTTGTTTTTTAATGGACCATTTATATTTGCTTTATTCCAACACCCACCAAATATCTATATCTTTGGCTAATTCTTTTTTTTTTTTTTTTTGGCACTTACTAGTTTTTTTTTAAGATTTAAATTCAATTAATTAACCCATAATATAGTATTGTTTCAGGGATATAGGTCTGTGATTCATTAGTCTTATATTATACCCAGAGCTCATAACATCACATGCCCTCCTTAACGTCTATCACCCAGTTACCCCATCCCCCCACCCACCACCCCTCCAGCACCCCTCAGTTTGTTTCCTAAGATTAAGAGTCTCTTTTTTTCTCTCTCTCTCTGGTTTCATCTTGTTTCATTTTTTTCCTCTCTTCCCCTATGATCCTCTGCCTTGTTTCTTAAATTGCACGTATCGGTGAGATCATATGATAATTGTCCTTCTCTGAATTCACCTGTTTGGTTTTTTTTTTTTAGTTTTTAAATTTAAGTAGGCTGCATACAATGTAGGGCTTGAACTCAGGATCCTAAGATCAAGAGTCGCATGCTCTACTGACTGAGCCAGCCAGATGCCCCAGTCAGTTTCAAAATATCCACCTACATGGTTTAAAAGGTACATGTTAGCAAGACACATACCTAAGACAAAATAACACAGGACAGCTGTAAAAAAAGAAATGGAAAAACATTCCCCTTTTCCATGGAGCTTCTATTTCAAGACCCCCCCAGTGGATGCCTGAAACCCCAGAAAGTACCCAACCCTATATATATTATGCTTTTTTCCTATACATACATACCTCTGATAAGGTTTAATTTATAAATCAGTAAGAGATTAACAATAACTAGTAATAAAATAGAACAATTATAATGATATGTAAATGTAATCTCTTTCTCTCTCAAAATACCTTCTTGTACTGAACTCACCCTTCTTACGATGGTGATGGTGTGAAATGACAAAATACCTATGTGATGAGATGAAGTGAGGTGAGTGATGGAGACACCGTGACCTAGCTAGCTACGACTGACCCTGACCATACATCAGGAGGAGGGTTATCTGCTTGTGGATGGCAGGTACCACAGGTGAGAAACCATAGCCATAGAACATGAAACTACAGGTAAGAGGGGACTACTGTACACCAAATTAGTAATTAAAAAAAAAGGAAAGTAAATATAATATTAACATTAGGCAAACTGGAATTAAATGCATCAAATGGAAGGAGAGCAAAATCTCTCACAGATAAAATATGCAACTAGTCAACGTGTCATGGCACAAACATTTATGTACCTAAAAACAGCTTTAAATATATAATGCAAAAACTGCTATCAAAATCAGAACAAAAAAACTTCTATAATCATAGTGTGATTTAACATACCCCTCTCAAAAATGCACATTTCAAAGGAATAAAAAATGTGAAAGGTTTTAATAAGCTTCACTATGTAAACCTAAATATACAAAAGTACACACACGCACACACACAATAGAGGATACAAGCAACCAACAGCTTAAAACATGACTATGTGGGGCGCCTGGGTGGCTCAGTGGGTTAAGCCGCTGCCTTCGGCTCAGGTCATGATCTCAGGGTCTTGGGATCGAGTCCCGCATCAGGCTCTCTGCTCAGCGGGGGGCCTGCTTCTCTCTCTCTCTCTCTCTCTCTCTCTCTCTCTCTCCCTGCCTCTCTGTCTACTTGTGATCTCTCTCTGTCAAATAAATAAATAAAATCTTTAAAAAAAAAAAAAAAAAAAAAAAAAAAAAACATGACTATGTATTAGGCCACACATGCACTGAAGTCCCCAAAGCATCAAAGCATAAATGACAGTCTCTGATCATACCTCTAAACAACACAAGGGTAATCGTCTGGACTGTTTCACTTAGACTGGCAGCAGATGGGCAAAACTCTAAATGGCAGTTTGTGAGGCTTCAGGGAAGTGGCATTTATAGAAACTTTAGGTAGGAGTATAAATGGCCAAGGCCTTCTTTACACAGTAAGTTGATACTATCTATCAAAATTTTAAAGTCATACCTTTGCCACAGCAATTCTACTTCTAGAAATCCCTCATAAAATAAGTACACATAATTACAGAACAAATTTGTGTAACAACACAGCACAATGCTAATTATAGCAGGAAAATAGTAATAACCCAAGAATCTAACAACAGAAAAATAGTTAAATTATTTATAGTATATCCATGTCATAAAATGCCAAGCACTGACATGGAAAGAATCTCCAAGACGCCACAGTGTTGCCTTTTTTTTTTTTTTAAGTGTAAAAAATACATCTGTATCATTCAAATTATGTTAGGGTAAAAAATAAATAGAAAAAGGAGTTGAAGAATACACAATATACTTTTACTTCCGGAGAGGGACATGGTGGAGAACTTTTATATTTTACTTTACATATGTCTCAACTGTTTGAATATTTTATGATTTGTACTGCTTGTACAATCCAAAAGAGAAAAGAGCAATTTTTCAAAATTTCTTATTTACTCCCCAGAAAAAGACTGGGATCTTCCTGTTCTTATTACAAATTTGATTAAACTCATTGGAGAGAACAGAACAAGGGTAAACTTCCAACTGTTCCCTCTGCCAGAAGACTGTTCTCTCAGATAAGGCTCACTCCTTCACTTCCTTCAAGTTTTCCACTTAAATATCATCTTATCTGAGAAAACTTCCTTGACTTTTCAATATAAAATGACAACCTCCCACACCTATTCTACTGCCCCCCAACTACTTTGCCTTGCTTTTTATTTCACTGGAGTACTTTCAACACCTGTGTCTTAGTGTCCCTATCTCTAAAATGAGGGTGATAACAGTATCTATCCCACAGGTTGATGCTAGGCTTCAGTGAGCCAGAGCTCTCGGATGAGTGCCGGGCTCTCAGTAGGGGCCCCATCAGTCCATGATTTTATGCCACTTTTGCGGATGGTCCGCCTTCCCCTATTACAATGACACACCCAGGAAAGAAAGGACTGTGATTTGTTCCCAATTGCATCCTGAATGCCTGGAAAGTGATTTTATCAGTAAATATTCATAGCTGTTGATGCTTGATTTAGCACTGCAGCCATATGCACAGACAGCTGAGATTACAAGAAAAAAATCAATTATTTTCAGTAAAAGCAAGTTTTCTGCAACTAACATGAATCATCTGTAATAATTCAATCTACTTTAAAGCATAATATTTAGCAGTAGGACTCCTAGAAGCTTCAAATAGGGAGTTGGTATGGTACCATTTAATTCATTAATTTCTCAACACTAAATGGCAAAAGAAACTAAAACATAATGTGGAATGAGAAAAATGAAAGCACAACTTACTTTGCATTCCTGTTTTTGATGCATGGCTGGTAGAGGACCTTGACAGCATTCCAGGCAGAATAGGAATCTGCCTTCAAGTTATCTTCCAACAGGGGGAACTTTTTGATACTTTTGGAACTTCCCAAAGATTCAGTCACCAGACTATCTGAGTTTAAAAGCCATAGCTAAAGATACGGAGAGAAAGGCCCAAGTATAAGGATATTATCATCACCCTATCTGTATCTCATAACACTAAAAACAAAATACATACAAAACTATAAAAATACCAGAAAAAAAAAGACAGGAGAACCCTGAAATAATTTTTAAGTATGGTAAGTCTTTCAAAGTGTAACATCTAGTAGAGCTGCTGAGATCATAAAGTTTAAAAAAAAAAAAAGACAACCAACTAGGAGAAAATATTTAATATATAGATAACAAAGTTATTATCTGTAATATATAGAGTTCCCAGGAATTAAGAAGGGGCCAAAAACAGCCCAACAGAAATAAAGGCAAAGAATATGAACAAAAGTAACAGGAGAACTAAGTGATGAACATATATAAAAATGTTAGTAATAAGGAAATGTATAAATCATGTGCCACCATTTTTCACTTATTAGATTGGCAAGTACAGAGATGGTGACATTCAGTTCAATAGAGGGGTTTGGACTGCTGGTGGAAGAGCGTTTTTTGGGATTTGGATGCATGCTGTTCATTGAGGGGCTCAGCTGCAGTCAGACTTCAGCTTGATCCCATGGGGAGCTCTGATGCAAGAATGGCACCTACATTGTCTGTCCCACCTCGAGACAGGAGGCCTCTGCTTTCTGTACCCCAGGGTCAAATCCCTGGCAGCAGACTGACCAAGGCAGGGGTGGGGAAGACCTGACTTCCTGAACAAGGTGGCACCTGTCATGTGAGGGCATGCCTCTGGAGACAAGGCAGCTGAGCACCATTAGCAGCCCACGTGTCTCAGCAGCTGGGAAATGGGTGCACCAGTCTGAGTAAGGAGGACCTGGGCGGGGTACCAAGAATGTCTCACTACATGGGACAAATGAGTACATTTTCTCGTGGGTGATAATTAACAGTTTAAAAAACACAAATTCTAATACCATCTTAGATTAGAAAGGTCTATTTCTAAAGAAGTACTAAAATACACATGCAAAGATTATTTTCATTGAAGCACTGTCTTTAACAGCCACACACTGGAATTCTAGACATGAAAGACCCTGGTCTATACTTACACTCACAAGGAACAATCCTTATGATATACTGTTGAGTGAAGTAAACATGATAAAGAAAAATTCCTGTCATGTGATTTGGGTATGTTTCACAAACAGAAAAGCAGAAATGTGAGTGTATGAACAAGAGAGCTATACACAGAGAGGGAGAAGATGCTGATGGACACACCATACCGTTAGTAATGTTTGCCTTCAAATCCTACATATAGCAAGACGAGGAGAGAAGAAAAGTTGGGGGAATACCTTCTTTTACATTCCTCATGTTGTCTGAATGCTTCAAGAAGGTATTACTTTTGTAACAAACAAGTTTTTTTAATTTATTTTTTTAAAGATTTTATTTATTTATTTGACAGAGAGAGAGAGAGAGAGAGAGAGGTCTCATGTTAAGCATTCTCACCCCATACACACACACAAAAACAGGAACAACAGAACATATTTTAAACAGAAGAGTATCAAAGGGAAAAATAAGGGGAAAATCAATAGGGGGAAAAAAGTGACAGAAACAGAATTAAATTATAGTGACCAAGAAATGCCATGAACAACTTAGAGTGAAGAACTTTATTTTGTGGTGTGAGCAGGAATCAGGTTTTATTTCTTTCTATATCCCTATTACCTAGCACATAGAGCCACTTGATCTATTGTTATCAAATTAAGGGAGTTGATTTTGAATTAAACTGATATTACAAACTCAAATTTCTGGTCATTTCTTTTCTAGACCTGAGACTTAAAGAAAAAAGAATGGCAAGACTAACGAATTTCTGAGACCCTCGATTACCACGCTACAGAAAGCTGGGAGAAATTACTTCTTACCAGGATGTACGCTTTGCCATCATGACCTTGAATAGTGAATCTGAAAGTGCTTCTAGCAGCGGAGAGTTCCACTAGACACTGGGCAATAACACTCTGTACAAACTGAGACCTGTTTGAATAGAAATAAGTTTTCACAATGTGCCTCTCATAATAACTCTAACTGGCAAGAGGACCCAAAAATACCCACAGGGTACCTAAAAGGCAGATGTGTGTGCAGCCTGACTTTTCTATATGCTGCCCATCCCTTTGCAGACTGTGCTAATGTGGATTTTAATATATTTTAATGTATTTGTGTTTCCTCCAGTCTTCTTATAACCTATTCTCCAATCCTTAACACACTTCCCATCCCAAACCTAACTATTCCCCTTGACTGAATAAAAAATACCGTATTAGCCAAGTCAATATTCCATTTGTGCTGCCCCACATTAAACAGTAAGTTAAAAGAGAAGGCAAGGTATTTCGTCCCAAACATTAGACAGTATTATATATGATGTCTTCCATTTGCATCCTTCCCCTCAAAGAGTCAGAGCTGAGGCACAGAATGAAAATATTTACAGGAGGATAAGTTATAAGGTTATATTCAGATTGCCATAATTTCTAGATATCCATAAATAAACTAAAACAGTTAACTTCTGTTTGCAAAATAACAAAAGATTCAAAAGAAAGAAAAAGCTAATGGATTTAGTGGCTAAGTAACTTTTTTTTTGAAAACACAGGAGTCATTTGAAAACTGACTCATGTTTCAAATTTAAATAAGTCAAATTAATCCCAGAAATAATTATTCAAAAACCTATTGGTGATTAAGTTATGAGACCCTGGATATATGACAAATAGAGAGAAGCACAAAAAACTTTCAGGTTTAGAAGATTTATATGATGAGCACATTTATTTATGCCACTATGTAATAAACAAACAATAAATGAATCTCAAGTCTTTTGTATGTGTGGTTTGGTTCAACGGCCTCAAAAGCGTTTATTTTTCTTTTCCAAATAAAGAGAGGTATAAATAAAAATGAATTCCCAAATAATTAATTGTACCTATCATTCTCCACATTTGAAACTGCAGAATAAACTTAATTTGCTATTTGTACCTTGCTGTGATAGAAAATTTTCTTTCAGATGGCTGAATAATTATCTCCGTCATATAAAACTTGGTGGTTTCTAGAAACAAAAGTAAGAAAATTAAAATCTAATTTTAAATTTAAAAACATTTTTATGGTGGGCATACTGGTCCTAATTACAATATCCCAAACTAAATATTTTGTACACATACTAGTAAAATTCACTTTCAGTAAAAATTTTCCCAAAATGACTTAGTGTAAGACACCAACAAGACACAAGGAGAGCATCCTGAGATTTGGGGGCACCTGGTGTTTTAGAACACATGCCCAAATGAATCCTGGCACAGTGGCACTCTGTTCACATGCATAGAAGTTTGGAAAAATCAGCCACATTACAGACACAGCTCAGTTAGTAGAAACTAGTCATTTATTTCCCCATTTCTATAGTCACAAACCTAGGAGTCACTGGAAAAGGCTTTTGAATCACAGTGTCCCAAAACCCATGAAAAGATGCTGTAAACCTCACATTAGTATTTCCCAGAATCTCAGTGAGTCTATTAATGCACAATTCCCAACAAATCTGGTTATATAATTACTTAGTTTATAGAAAAATTTGAACAGTAAACTAAGTATCTTATAGAAATGAATAGAAACATAACCATTCTGAATTTTTAAAAAATCCATGAAAAAGATTTCTTTTCATTAGTAATAAAGGAAATACAAATTAAAAGGAGATATTCTGCAGCATCAAACAAATATTTGTGAATGACAAAACATAAGCAATGATGATGATATGGAGAAAGGGGTACACTTAGACACATACTGCTATGAGAACTGCAAATGATACATTTCTGGAAAGCCACTTAATGAAGACCTGAAATATATTCTGATGCCATCATTAAACACCTAAGAATTTATCTCAAAGAAATATTCACACCTGTAAAAATGCTTGTATTAATTAAACTGAAAACAATTTCTCTAAAAATTGAGAATGGCTGGGCTAAACAATTACACATTTAGGCAAGTGAATTCTATGCAATCATTGAGAATGGTGTGCCAAATAATTTTAATTGTCTAAGTAAAATGGAGGGTTATTCTCAGTACATTTTCTGAAAATGTTTTCAATTGTTCAATGTAACATACAAAAAAAGGCAAAAAAAAATCAATAGTTACAGCGTATTACATATCTAGAGCCATGATGATGAATTTATCTACTTCTCCTTTAAGTTCAACTTTTCATTTTGCTATTTTGAAATCATGTTACTAGATGCAGAATTGCACCTTTTAACATTATGAAGTGATCCCTTCTATTCTAGCTGCTGTTGAACTATAACTTAATTCTATAATTTTAATCCTATAAGATATTGTTATTATGGCTTTATGCAGTTAGCATCCACTTAATGTCTCCCACATAATTACCACTGTCTATACCAATCCTTCTTGAATTTAGACCTTCTATTTGGGATGATTTTCTTCTATTCTATAAAGATAGAATTCTATTCTTCCACAAGTACAATTTCTTTTAATAAAAAAAACCAAACCAGTAGAAATGAATTATTCTAGTTTTTGTCAGAAAACATCTTTGTCTTGATTCACAGGAGAACATTTGCACCATATAAAATCCTAGGTTAACAGTTTTTAACCTTTGTGCACACTGACACTTGGATTCCATTATCTTCAAACTTTCATTATTACTGCTCCTTTGAAAGTGATGTCATTTTTCTTCAGTTGTTTTTAAGGTGTTCTGGTTTTTGTTTGTTTTGCTGTATCATTCTGTATGTCTCACTATAGACTTCTTTTCATCTTACTTGGGTTTCATTTAATTAGAATTCTTGCACCTCCTCAACCTTAAGCTTACTGTTTCTATCACTTTTGTAAAATTCTTAGCAATTATCTCTTCAAATATTGCCCCTTATATTTCTTTTCCTTCTAGAAGTCAAACTAAAAATAGGTTAGAGTACAAAGGTTCCTCAAAAAGTTAAAAATAGAACTACCCTATGATTCAGCAATTGTAAAACTAGGTATTTACCCAAAGAATAAAAAAATAGTAATTTAAAGCGATATATGCACTCTGATGTTTATAGCAGCATTATCAACAATAGCTAAATTATGGAAAGAGCCCAAATGTCCAGTGACTGATGAATGGTGGTGTGTATACACACACACACACACACACACACACACACACACACACAAACAGAAATATTACTCTGCCATAAAAAGAATGAAATCTTGCCATTTGCAACAATGTGATGGAGCTAGAGAGTATTATGCTAAGTAAAGTAACTCAGACAAAGACAAATACCATATAATCTCACTCATAAGTGAACTTAAGAAACAAAACAAATGGGGGCATCTGGGTGGCTCAGTCAGTTAAGCATCAGACTCTCGATTTTGGCTCAGGTCATCTCAGGATTGTGAGATCAAGCCCTGAATCTGGCTTGACACTCGGTGTGGAGCCTGCTTAAGATTCTGTCTCTCCTTCTACCCCTCTCCACACCACTCCACTCTCTCTCTCTTAAAAAAAAAAAAAAAATCATAGAGGAAAAAAAGAGAGAGGAAAATAAAAAAAAGATTCTTTTTTTTTTTTTAAGATTTTATTTATTTATTTGACAGAGAGAGAGAGATCACAAGTAGGCAGAGAGGCAGGCAGAGAGAGGAGGAAGCAGGCTCCCCACTGAGTGGAGAGCCTGATGCGGGGCTTGATCCCAGGATCCTGAGATCATGACCTGAGCCGAAGGCAGAGGCTTTAACCCACTGAGCCACCCAGGCACCCCCAAAAAACAGATTCTTAACTACAAAGAACAAACTGATGGTTACAAGACTGGAGGTGGGTAAGAGGATGGGTTAAACAGGTGATGAGAATTAAGGAGGGCACTTGTTTAATGAGCATCAGGTGTTGTATGTAAAGTGCTAAATCACTGAACTATACACTTGAAACTAATATTACAGTGTATGTTCACTGGAATTTAAGTAAAAACTAAAAAAGCAAAAAAACATGTTAGATCTTCTTGGTATATGTTCTACATCTTACTTTCTCCTCTATTTTTGCCTTCTTGTCTTTCTGTGCTGGATTATGGATTCTTCTTCTTATCTACCTTCTATTTATGAATTCTTTCTCCAAGTTGTACATAATCTGCCTTTAAATCATCCACTAAAGGGGAGCTTCGGTGGCTTAGTTGGTTAAGCATCTGCCTACGGCTTAGGTCACGATCCCAAGATGCTGGGACTGAGCCCCACATCGGCTTCCTTGTTCAGCGGGGAGCCTGCTGCTCCAACTCTTCTTCTGCCCCTCCCCCTGCTTGTGCTGTCTGTCAAATAAATAAGCAAAATCTCTAAAAAAAAAAAAAATCCACTAAATTCTAAGTTTCCATTATATATATATTTTTAGAAATTCTATTGTAGTTCTTTTCCAAATATGCTTGCTGTTGTTTCCTTTGCCTTTGATACCTTCAAACCTCTTATACTGTTCAATATAGGAAAGCATGATTGTTCCAGTTTACATGTGTTAATTCTAATAACAGAAGTCTGTTTCTGTTTGTTTGCTGCTTTTGTTAGTTCTTGTCGACGGAAGTCTAGTTTACCTGTGTACTTATTTATCTGTGGTTGTATGGGGAACACTGTACTTGACAAATTATTTGTGGGAATAATATGAGTTTTACAATGAAGGCATTTTACTCCAGAGGTGATTTGCATTTGATTTTGCCGGGGATATATGGGTGGGATAGCTATTCCAAGGCAGACTAACCAAGTTCAAGACTTGAAATTCCGTAAAGTACCAAAGGGTTGATACAGGTCTATAATTCCACAGGGTTGTTCCACTTCCCATTCACCTTCACAGTAAGGGTTTGCCTCTTTAGGGTCCCAAAATCTTGTTCAGAGTTGTCTACTAGGTTCCCTTTGGTGTAGTCTTTATGTCCTTACTTCTCAAACCAATCAAAATAAAAGTTCTAGGTGCGCCTGGGTGGCTCAGTTGTTAAGCATCTGCCTTCAGCTCAGGTCACGATACCGGGGTCCTGGGATTCAGCCCTGCGTTAATTGCTCAGGGGGAAGCCTGCTTCTCCCTCTCCCACTCCCCCTTGCTTGTGTTCCCTCTTTTGCTTCATCTCTTCTCTGTCAAATAAATAAGTATTTTAAATAAACAAACAAATAAAAGTTCAAATTTTAGAGAACTGGCATATTGCAGGGAAAAGGATTCTTTTTTGCTAACCTCTGAGTTTGCTCGTGTGGTAATTTCCCCATATATTTTCTATTTATCTTGATCTTCATTCTTTCCTGTGGATTCCAGTCATTTTCTTTCACTCCAGCCTGAAGAACTTTTTTTTAGCATTTTTTTGTAGAGAAGATCTGCTAGTAATGCGTAACCTCCCTCTATATGAAAATGCTCTTAGTTTTGCCTTCATTTTTGAAGGGCGGTTTTGCTGGAATATAATTATTAGTTGACAGGTTTTTTTTTTTTAAATTTCCTTCCAGCATTTTGAATATCTCACTTTAATGTCTTCACTTTCTGCAGAGTCAGCCTTAATTGTATCACGAAGTTCCCTGTATGTGATGCTTCATTTTTCTCTTGTACTTTTAAGATTCTTCATCTTTGGGGCGCCTGGGTGGCTCAGTGGGTTAAGCCACTGCCTTCGGCTCAGGTCATGATCTCAGGGTCTTGGCATCGAGTCCCGCATCGGGCTTTCTGCTCAGCAGGGAGCCTGCTTCCTCCTCTCTCTCTGCCTGCCTGTCTGCCTACTTGTGATCTCTCTCTCTGTCAAATAAATAAATAAAATCTTAAAAAAAAAAATTCTTCATCTTTGGCTTTTATCAGTTTGACTACAATGTGCCTGGGTGAAGTGTTCTATGTGTTTATCCTACTTTTCATTGCACTTCTTGGATCTAAAAGTTAATGAATTTCAGAAGATTTGCTAAGATTTCAGCCATTGTTTTCTACAAATATTTTTTCGTGAGTTATTCTTTTTCTTACCTCTGAGATTCCATTTACAAATTAACTGAAACATTTTGATATTGTCCCACAAATCTCTGAGGTCCCATCCATTTTGATTCAGACTTTTTCCTCTCTGTTCTTTGCATTAATTTCTATTAATATACCTTCAAGTTCAATGATTATTTTTCCTCTTGTCATCTCAAATGTGTAGTTTAGCTGATCTAATGAATTTTTTAGTTACTGTAGTTTTCAGCTCTGAAATTACCAATGGTTCTCTCTCTGTGAAGTTTCCAATTTGTTGAGATGTGCTATTATTTCACTCAAGAGTTCCCCCTTTTAATTTTTAGCCATATTTATAATAGCCACTTCAACATCTTTGTCTAATATTTGCACAAATCTAATATTTGCACTTATTCAGTACCTGTATTTTGAGTCCTGTTTTTTAGTATCGATCACTCTTTTCCATTTATTTGCATGTCTAATAATTTCTAAATGGAAGCAGGACACTGTATGTAATATAATGTTGCTATTCTGGATTTTGTTTTGTTCTTTTAAGGGTTGTTGACTTATAATAGTCAATTAACTAGCCTGGACTCAAACTATGAAATATGTCTTCCCAGAGTGTAGTTGCTAATGTTTCTGCTCAGTTTTATTTTGCTTAGCCTGGCTCCCTAGAGAGTATTCATTATACCTACACAGGTTAACTGTCAACAAATCCGGAGACAGGTTTTGATCAAATACCTCAAACCATTAAGGTTCCCACCTTCTGCTGCCCAACTGTGTGTGGATGAGAAATGAAATCAAAGGCATGGGAAATGTGCAGGTCTCCCGGAGCTTTCAATTCTTATTGAACTCTCTGGAACCTACTGTGTGCATTTAACAGTCACCCAGAGCTCTGTGAAGAAGTTATTGTCTCAGCCCATCCCCTGCTTTTTGCTTCCAAAATCTCCCTCTTAAATTTCTAGTTTCTCCTTTCCCTACCTTGAACCTTACATTATTATGACTATAATGATATCATGGTAATGTTTCCTTTCTTGTTCAGCCTTCCATTTTCCTGCAGTGAATAACTGCTTTCTTTTTCATCTGTTTAGTTTTCCAAGCACTTTTACCTAATTCTTCCCATCTGATGAAATGGCATATCTCAAGACGGTTACATGCAGTCAAACAAACCAAAGAATGTACCAGTTTCATTTTGTAATTGAAAAAATGTTTATTGCAGTCTTCTCTCCTTCGCTTCAATCTAGGCTATTATTCCCAAGGTCTGCCCCGTGTGTCCCTCACTCTAGGACTCCCTTATCTGTGTTAGATAATCTGTTTCCCAAATCCCATGTCTTCTCTCTAAAGGTTAAATCCTTAGGTTTGGTGAGATATATCCTATGGTACATTTCTAAGGAAAATATACATTTGAGATCTGTGTTTTGAGACATTGCATTTCCAAAGCTGTATGTGTTATCTTCATCCTTGATTCGATAATTTGACTGTGATAGAGTTATGGGTTAAAAATATTTTTCCTTCCAAATTATGAAGGCATTACTTCACTGTCTTCTAGATTTCAACAATGCTGTTAAGAGTTCAATGTCATTCTAATTCCTGATCTCTTGCTTTTTTTCCTCCGGAAACTTCTTCCTTGGTATTCAGAAATTACTCAATGATACAGCTTTGAGTAGCTTCATACTGGACGTGTAGTGGGCCCTTTCAGTTGAGAAACCGAAGCCCCAGCTCTGGAAAATAGCCTTGTAATGTTTTGGTTTTGGTTTTTGTTGTTGTTGTCAATGTTATTGTTGTTTAGCATTTCTGTTCTTTGATAATTTCCTAAACTCTGTTGTCTCTATTCTTTCTTTCTAGAATTTCTATCAGCTAGAGTCTGAATATCCTAAAAGTCTCCATTCATTCATTCAACAAATATTTACTGGGTACCCACTATATGCCAGATATTTAGTGCTGAGGTTATAGTGATAAATGAGATAGACAATATCTCTATCTTCAGGAAACTTACGTGATGATTTTTTTTTTCTACAATCCCTTTCCAATTTTCAATCTCTGAACTTTGGTTCTGATTTATGAGATAAAATAGTTCCTTAATTTATTTTCTAGTCCTTTGATTAGGTTTTTTAAGCAATCACATCTTTCATTCTATATTCTTTGAATTATGGAGGCAATATTATTCCATTTCTCTAAGAACATTATTTTTGTTAAAGATTTGTTCTGTTTTATACATACTCCAGTTCTCCTCAGTGCCTTAATTCTGTCTACTTCATTATTTCTTTACTTCTCTTTTACAGTCTCTTTTATAGTTGGAGGCTTGCTCGAGTATCTCTTGATTCTCAGCAATCCATTCATATTTAAGGGTAAGGTAATAAAATGCTAACAGGAAATCTCTCAGGTGTAGGTACAAGGCTTATTGACTACAGGATGGCTGAATCTAAGTTCATTTTATCGTTGAAGGAAGCTTACAAATCAGTGTCTCCACATCTCTTCTCTGGCCGGTATCCTTCCATTTTCAAGAAAGAGTCTTCTAATCTCCTGCCTTGAGAGTATAAGCAAGTTGTAAAGAGAGAAAGAATCTTAGGAGTCTTACAGCTCCATCTAAAAATTTTGAGTTAGGCATCCTTCCTCCAGCTCTTTGTTCTCAGACTGCTTTCCCTATTACCTGCTGCCTCCAAATTCTGAGCAGACCAACTCTGTGGCCCTACCGTGGGCGCCAGCTCCCTCCTCACTCAGATGAACTACAGAGCTACCAAGTGTGCTACCATATCTCTCAGCTTCACAGCTTTCAAAACAGTCTGTGTATATATCTTGTTTACACCACTGTCACTTCCTCTCCATGTTTCTTTATCTCTGTGGATGTACATCTTTTTTATTCCTTAACTGACGTTTTAACTGGGCTTCAGGGAGAAGAGAAAAGAATTAAAAAAAATCAATTCACCTAATTTGACTGAAAGCCTTAAAATGTTCTAAGTTGTTGGTTAAAGTGCTTGGTTTCATTCTCCAAAATGATGCTGAGGGTAGCATCCTTTACCCCTACTCATTCTTCCTTTTCTGTTTCCTTTGAGCAAGTAACTACTTGCCAGATTCTGATAATTTTAAAATACAAACAAAAAAGACCACCATCTGCCTTCTTTTAGGTACACTAGCTTCACTTAAATCCCATCGTCTAGTTAATAATATTAAAAACAATTATTCATCACCTACAAAGCGGATGCAGAGTGTTGTAGCTCTCCAGACATTTTTAAACCTTATCTTTAAATAACGAGGTGATTTAATTATCAGGATTTTATTATATTTGAAAGTGGTATAACATAGACTTTACATAAATACAATGAACACTATTGGGAAAAGAACAGGAACAGAGTACAAAACTCAGAATGTGGTTTCTTTCATTTCAATCCCCAGCCCTAAAATACAGCCCTGAGGAAGAGGGCAGCCAAGAAAACTTCTTCATCTCCATCAACCAATCCTGACTGAGGATTTGTACTGAGAAAAAAGCTCCACTCTTCTTTAGGACAGACCCAGGTACAAACTTTATACTATTGCTTTATATCCACAGAGAGGATATGAAATATTGAAAATGACCCAACTTCTCAATGCTTAAAATTCAATACTATGTACTTATAAAGGTCAAAATACACAAAATTCTTGGCATGTTGGATGATATGTTAGCTAATCTCTATTTTTTTTTAAAGACTTTATTTATTTATTTGTTAGAGAGAGAGAGAGAGCATGAGCACAGGCAGAAAGAGTGGTAGGCAGAGGCAGAGGGAGAAGCAGGCTCCCCGCTGAGCAAGGAGCCCGATGTGGGACTCGATCCCAGGACGCTGGGATCATGACCTGAGCCAAAGGCAGCTGCTTAACCAACTGAGCCACCCAGGCATCCCTAATTTCTATTTTTTTTTAAGATTTTATTTATTTATTTGACACACAGAGAGATCACAAGTAGGCAGAAAGGCAGGAAGAGACAGAGAGAGGGGGAAGCAGTCTCCCTGCTGAGCAGAGAGCCCGATGCGGGGCTCGATTCTAGAACCCCGGAATCATGACCCGAGCCGAAGGCAGAGGCCTTAACCCACTGAGCCACCAAGGCGCCCCTAATTTCTATTTTAAAAATCATCAATTCTACAACACATATTAGCTATCTATCTTCCATATAGATTTCCTATAAAATCTCCTTCTACTCTTTTTTAACAAGAAGGCAATCATTTTGGCTTTTTTATTATGAAATTCTTACCTGATGACATGGTCTCTCCCAACATTACCTTGCAACGCTTACAAATTACTTTGGTATTTGCCTTTGGTTTCTGTAGAACAGAAAAATGTCATTTAAATGTCATTCAGCTTTTCTTAAAAGGAATATATAATTTTAACATAGTCTCTAGAGTATACATTGAACTTTACATTTTATTTTGCCCTCTACTAAATACTGGGAACACATTTAGCTTGTATGCATAATTCACATGCACAGAGATCTTTTTTTTTTTAAATCTAAAGACAGAATAATGAATAGACTGATTTTTCTAAACCTAGTCACTTCTTGATAATCTAATTGTTGTAAATAATTTGAACAGGAAGCACCTTACATTTCTAAAAAGCACTTCCAAACATCCACTACCATTGAGGATAGGCAGATGGTGGACAACAAAGGCAGACAGAATAGGTGACTTGTCCCAATTCATGTGTCTAGAAAACAGGAGAATCAAAAACTGGAGCCATTATTTTGATTCCCAGTCCAGTATAATGTAAAAGTAATCTATAATTCATAACTACTCACCAGAAGTCAAAATTATCTAGCCTACTCATCTAATTCTAATTTTTCCACTTAAGCATTGTAACTGGAAAAACTGGAAAGTGTTCTGAGACAAATTCCTGAAGCATTTTTAAACTTCAAAAATCTAAATTCATCATTTGGGATACAGCTTAAAGGGCTAGCATTCCTCTAATAATTAAGCAAAAAAAAAAAAAAAAAGTTCTTTTATATTCAGAGAACAGATTGGTGGGTAAATGGGTGAGGGTGGTAAAAATGGGTGAGGGGTCAAAAGGTACAAACTTCCAGTTACAAAACATGGAAGTCATGGGGATGTAATGTACAGCATGGCAACTACAGTTAATAATACTGTATTATATATTTAAAGTTGCTAAGAGTAGATCTAAAAGTAACAATGTTCTATGTCAGTTATACCTCGATTTAAAAAAAGTTACTGCTTTGTAGTTGTTTTTTTTTTTTTTTTTGTAAGAGATTATGTTATAAGCAATAGCATAGTGGTTAAGAGCCCTGAGTATGGACCAGATTTCCAAGGTTTCAGTCCCAGCCCTGTTATTCACTACACACATGACCCTGAGCAAGTTAATTAACCTAGTTTGGTTTCTTCACCTGAAAAAGGGAGTTAATAGTAGTGCTTAACTCCTAGCATTGTTTATTAGGATTTAAAGAGGAATATTATAAAGCCCTGTCCTGGGTACATAGTAAGTACAAAGTGGAGGTTACACAAACAAAATATACTTTTGGCACACATCATTCAGGATAGGCTGACCCATACCTTCCCATAAAGGGACCGATTTTTTGCCTTTTACTAGATAGCCACTGTGTATTAAGAATCTACCAAAAAAAAAAAAAAAAAGTTTTTTTCACATCCATAGCAAAATCTCTGTTAAAGCCCTACAACATTCTTTTCACAGAGATACACGGCAGCGTGGCAGAAGTCATATAAAAGTGGGCAGGGAAAAGAAATTTCTGCAACTCTGGCCACCTGAAGTCATCTTCCCTGGGCAACCACAGACTAGAGTGCTGGTCTAAGTAAGGAAAGAATACCTTTCTGATGTGGGATAATGTGTGTATTGACCTAAGGAATCTTAACTGATTAAGCTAAGTTTGAGTACCATCATATTTTCCTTGGCTTTAATCATTATGTCCTGAAAAGCTGCATAAGAGGCACATTTAAACTGAGTTCCATGGATGTGCTGCTAGTAACTGATAGAGCTGATATTTGAATCTAGATCCCTTTGTTGCTAACACTTGTGTTTCTATGTCCACAATAGCTAAACTATGGAAAGAACCTAGATGTCCATTGACAGATGGATGGATAAAGATGTGGTGTGTACACACACACACACACACACACACACACACAGGAATACTACTCAGTCATCAAAAAGAATGAAATCTTGCCATCTGTGATGATGTGGATGGAACTAGTGAAATAAGTGAATCAAAGAAAGATAATTGTCATATGATCTCACTCATATGTAGAATTTAAGAAACAAAATAGAACTATAGGGGAAGAGAGGAAAAAATAAAACAAGACAGAATCAGAAAGGGATACAAACCATAAGAGACTCTTAATCTTAGGAAACAAACTGAGGGTTGTTGGAAGGGGGCAGTGGGGAGATGGGATAACTAGGTGATGGACATGAAGGAGGTCATGTGATATAATGAGCAGTAGGTATTATATAAGACTGATGAATCACTGACCTCTACCTCTGGAACTAATAATACATTACATGTTAATTAATTGAATTTAAATTTAAAATTTTTAAAAATAAATAGATAAATAAATAAAACTTGTGTTTCCAAGCACTATGGCCAAGTGTTTTCCAAACTAAGTCATAGAATCAGCTCAATGGGTTACAGCCTGCATTTAAAAAAAAAAAAAAAGGATGAAATAGAGGGGCACCTGGGTGGCTCAGTGGGTTAAATGTCTGACTCTTGATTTCAGCTAAAGTCATGATCTCAGGGTCATGAGATGGAGTTCCATGTTAGGCTCTGCACTGGGTGTAGAGCCTGCGTAAGATTCTCTCCCTTTCCCTCACCCTCTGCCCCTCCCCCCACACTATCTCTCTTTCTTTCTAAAAACAAAAAAAAATTAAAATAAAAAGATGAAATAGTATAGAAATATCACAGTACTTCAAATAGAGTATAAGTACTGCTTCAAGAAACTTTTAATTGATATGTATTCATATGTGTTATCAGATCTTGATATAAAAAATTATTTCTGGGTTGCTTGGGTGGCTCAGTCGGTTAAGTGTCTGCCTTCAGCTCAAGTAAGGATCTTGGGTCCTGGGATCCAGCACTGCATCAGGCTCCCTGCTCAACAGGGAGTCTGCTTCTCCTTCTCCACCCCTCTGCTTGTGCTCTCTCTCTCAAATAAACAAGATCTTTTTAAAAATATGTATTTCATATTTAATTAGAGGTCAAAAAATATCAAAGCCCCAGACACAGAAACTAAGGCAGGTGCCAATCTGTTCAGATGTAGGCAAGGATACAGGAAGAAGACAGCTCAGAAAGCAGGCATGCTCAACTGTGAAGTCTGATATTTGGGCAGTTTCAAGCTTTCTTACAATAAAATCTATCTGTACGGCTCCAAATTGGTATTAAACACACTTTTTATAGGACCCATTTGTATGAGTTAAATCAAACCAACCTCATTAAATGTTACCAAAAACTAAAGGCTTTACTAAAAACTAATACAGGGTATAGAAGTAGCAATGCTAGAGAAGAAGAAATTTTTCTATTCTGAGCAGAACACTTTTCATCAGGAGCTCTGTTATATATTTCATTTATAATTGCTGTTACAGCACATTTTGCTTTGTAATGAAGTAGGAAGTAGGAAAAGTGGTTACTTATTGGTTTAAAAAAAAAGCAATCTACCTTTTCGGGACACTGGTAATCAAGATTCTAAAATATGATCAATAAAAAATAAATGATCTCAAACAACCAAATGTGTGATTTTGATTCAAACAGATAGTAGAAGGTACCTTTAATAGAACTGATAAAATCTGTATATGGTCTGTATTTTATCATCAAGTGATAATTGGTCATTTTGTCAAATGTGAAAAGATACTGTGGCTATTTAAAAAAGAAAAATCCATATGGGATGAAATGACGTGTCTGGGATTTGCTTTAAACTACGGGGTCAGGGGGAAGGAATTAAAGGGACAGAGGAAGCCTACTTTATGAATCAAGAGGACTGATATACTGAAGTTTACAATTCTTTCCTTTTTGTATTTGTGAATGTTTAACAAAGCTCAACACAGTATTTTAAGAAAATTTAAAAAACAAACAGCCTTATAGATTTAACAAAACAAATGATCAAAATCAATAAATTATTGCCAACTACCCCCAGAAAGAAAAAAAGCAAAGCTGTCAGTCACACTTGCCAGATGTAATATAATCAAAGTTCAATTTCATTTGTTCCTTAAAACAGCTTGAAGTCACAGTATGACTATACTTTCTAAGTCTAGAATACTATTATGAATCTTATAAAAGGTTGAAGTGCCATCTTTATCATCCTATTATAAGATGCTGGTAGACACAAAAAAATAGCATAACAGTAAGTAAATGCAAGAAATAAGGAAATCTTCAAGAGTCTCTTGATAACAAAAGAAAGGTATATACTACCACATTAACAGGCACAAATAACATACTGTATACTCAAATGGGGTACTGAGGGAAAGAAATTTAAGTGTTGGATTTTATTTGTTTATGCTATTTTTAAAATGAGGGCTTTTTAATTAAAATATGATAACACTCGGAATTCTGTTGAAAGAGAAACTCTGTTTCGTAATGCATTTCTCTTGACTGGTCCTTAAAGGAAATAATAAAGCAAGTTGTGCAGTGAAGCAGCCTAACAGTGTGGGAACTCGACATCGACAGAGCAAACATCAAAGAAGGACCTTGTTGTAGACTAATTAAATCAATATATCTGAGAGACGGCACCACTGCTCAGAGATGTGGATTAGCCTCCTGTCCTCGTTTTTATTTCCCTTTGTGTTGTTTCAATTTCTAAGGACCCCTGATATTGTCTCGCCAAAAAAAATGTTTCCCAAGAGATATCATTAGGATGCTGTGTCACCATGTGACATTTCAAAACCCTGCTAGATGGCTAGACTTGGTGATATGAGAAATAGGTTTTCAATAGCACAGAGCACACAGTGTTGTTCCCACAGGAGCCTTGAGAGCACTGTTTAAGCAGTCCCTCCAAGTATATGTTACTATTTTGGTCACAGGCATACTCTTTCAATGGCTGCGATATGCAATTAAAGAGAACTTCCATCTAGGCTAACTTGGAAACAATCTCGTCAAAGCAGCTTGTCATGACAGGAGTTTCCCACAGTTTCCTTGATACTAAACACTGTGCCATCTGAATATGAAGGGTCTTCCTTTAACACATTGGATGGCTGTTCACAATTAAGAGAAATTCTTGTAAATGACATCATATAACTGATAAAGATGTAAGTGTGAAGAATATATTTCCATATAGGGAAGGGAAACTCATGGTTTCTCTCATTTAATCTTTTTCCTCTCCTCTTCCATTCACACCTTGCAAATATTTTAAAAAATTTAGAGCTTAATTGTGAGAATGAAAGTTAAAACACATAGGACAGTGAACTATTAGTCTATAAATTTAGATTAAAATACGATTTTAACATAACCATTTTAAACATAACAGATTTATATTAACTTCTTACCATTTATTTTTGAAAACTATACAAGGATAAAGTACTATAATTTTAAAAGAACCATATTTAGGTAAAGGGATGGGTGTTTACGGCGAGAGATAAGGCACTTAAATAATTCTGATAACTTCAATCTTTGATGAACTTCCTTAATCTGCCCTCAAAATACAAAACAGTTCTATAAACTAACTTAAAACCTGCGAGCTGCCCAACTAATGCACATTTCCTGAAGTGGTTCAGTTTTTGTTACAAAAATTAAATGAAATTTAATGTACAATGCTTTTATTCCTACCGATAATCAGATGTTAAAACGAAGATTGTCTGGCAATGAATTTCTTTACTTTTTAAATCAGATCTGTATTGACTTGCCATCAGGAGAATGATTTCTCACAAGGGCCAAGTCAATGCCATTGATTTTCTTTTAAAGTAAGGTAAACCACTTGTTTTCTGCAGTGAAAGGAAGCTGCTTTCTCCTTAAAGCAACTTCTATAGCAAGGGGCAGCTGACCTCACATGGCCCACCACCAACTTGGGGTTGGCAGCACGAGCTTCTTTTCCACATTTGGACTCCTCCACTTTCTCTTTTTCCTTGATGGCATCTGCTTTTATGACATCAGCAGAAGTCTTAACTAGGGGCAGACACAGGGAAATACCTAGGCCTAACTGTATAGTACATATCATGGAATAAAAGAACACTTTTAATTCAAATCAGACTATATAGATTATGGTATGTTCTCCTAAAAACAAGAAAGTGGGGCATTTTGGTTTGTAAAATGGTAACATTCCCAATTCTATGCATGAAAAAGTCCTCTTCCTCCAGCCCTAAGCTGCTCTGGTCTAAGGCCGTATGCTCTTCCTCTATCAACAGAGTAGAGTTGGTGAATAGAGACAGTTGAAATCATGGATTTTGGTCCTTGGAACAGTATGTATAGCATGCTGTAATTAAGAAAAGATAGGAGAAGCCAGTTTCTAAGACAACCCCCAAATTAGCATTTATTTTGAAAAGATATTTTACCAATTTAAAATGGTTCTCAGAAGGACACTGTGTCTCCACAGGGGCTAGTTCAGGTCTTGGCTGCCATAAATCACTTCTTAAATTCACCAAGAAGAAAGAGTCTCCAATAAAACAGTCATTCTCTTGCGGATGAAGAGGCTTATTAGCAAAGGGGTCAGGATGACAACACCATTCTTCAACTAGCGCTCCCCAATTCTCACTCGGCAATGGGAGCACCCTGAGGAGCTTCCTAGTAGAGAGAGGAAGAACAATTTTTAAAGAACAAAATGGAAATGTAGCATTTTCTTAATTAAATCAGCATGAAAGATAAAAGAAACTCATTAACCACATTATCTGCAGTGATGATTTTTCCCCCCAGATTACTTAATATAAGTAATATATACTTACCCTGGGCAGTTTGAAAATGTATAAAGGTATAAAAGAAATAAAAATCATCCTTTCCTTACCACCCAAAGACAAGTAACTACTTTGTAAATGATGGGTTATTTCCTTGCAATCCTTCCAAGAAACATAACTGTATGCACGTATGCAGTCTGGGATCAGAAGTTATATACCAACTTGCTTTCACTGTTTAGTTATATTATGATTCTTAATGACTCCATTCTATTCTACAGGCTTGCAAAAACTTTTAAGATCATTCCCTTACTGGTGGACATTCAGTTTCTCAGTATCAACAACCCTGTGATGAACCTTCCTGTTAAAAAATTTGTATACATATCTGACGATTTCCTTGGGAAAAAAATCTTGCAAATGTGAGATCACAATCACAATGATATCCATATTTTAAAACCCCACACATATCGGCAAACTGCTTTTCAGAAAGGCTATATGAATCTATAATTCTTCCACCTACCTTCTTCAGAATACTATCACTTTTCCACGTAAGGGGTGAAAATATTCTCCATATATACCACTTTAATTGGCAACTCTTTAATTACTAGTGAGATTGAACTAGCTCTCATATTTATTGACCAGCATGTTTCTTCTGTGAGTTGTGATCAGTGACTATTTTCTAATGAGGTATTAGTATGTTCTTACTAATTTTTAAAAGTATATTCTATCTTAAGAATATTAGCCTTCATCCATCATCTGTGACAAATACTTTTTCAATGTTATTGCCCTTTAATTTGGTTTGTCTTAAAATTTCAAATTATCTAAACCTTTCTTCTCTGATTTCTCCCATTAATTATTTTGCAATAAACTTTTTATTTGGGAGTAATTTTAAATTTACAGAATGGTTTCAAAAACAGTATAGACAGTCCTCATATACACTCCACCCAGCTTTCTCTGAGGTTAACATCTTATATAACCATGGAAGATTTGTCAAAACTACATACTTTATCTGGGTTTCCCTAGTTTTTCCATTACTGCCCTTTTTTCCTTTGATCTAGGATCCAATTCATGATAACATACTGCCATTAGTCATCATGTTTCCCTAGTCTCCTTTAGTCTGCTACATTTTCTTAGTCTGTCCTTATTTTTTAGGACCTTGAAATTTTTGAAGAGCAATGGGTCTGGTGTTTTACAGAATATCCCTCAATTTAAGTTTGTCTGATGTTTTCTCAAGATTAGACTGGGGTTACAGGTTTGGGAAAGAATACCACAGAAGTGAAGTGACCTTCTCAGCACATTTTATCAGAGGGTACACTCTCTCAATCAATATGACTTATCACTGGTGCTGTTAAACTTGAACACTTGGTCAGCCAGTATCTACCAGGTTTCTCCAGTAATAAAGCTACTATTCCTCCCTTTGCAAACTCTATTCCTTGGAAATGAGTCACTAAGCCCAGACCACACTTGAGAGGAAAGAAACTGAGCTCTACTCTACTATTATTTTTTATGTTTAAAAGAGCCTCACGATTAAGTAGGCCCTTGTATTTGTTATCAGTTCTGGTTTTTTTTTCCCAATAGTTTCATTTTTTTCTGGACAAAAATTGATACCTTGGACTTTATCAGAAGAAAAGCTAAACATGATTTATCTATATTCTACTCTAAATTAGGGAGACCCATAGTCTAAGAGGAGAAGACATATGGGCAGAATCATGAGAAACTTCAAAATAATTAATCCTGAGAAAAACTGAGAATAAAAACATGTTCATGGTCTTCTTTTTTTTTTTTTTAAAGATTTTATTTATTTGCTAGAGAGAGAGAGAGAGCACAAGTAGGCAGAGAGGTGGGCAGAGGCAGAGGGAGAAGCAGGCTCCCTGCTGAGCAAGGAGCCCGATGCGGGACTTGATCCCAGGATACCGGGATCATGACCTGAGCCGAAGGCAGCTGCTTAACCAACTGAGCCACCCAGGCGTCCCATGTTCATGGTCTTCTTAATGCCAGTGAGTAGTGTGAATGTTTAAAGCAGCCTGAATACTTGCACAGCTCTGTTCCTATGCACAGAAACATGTGCTAAGAGTCAACTGTATTTGATCACAGACCTGTTTATGCCACTTATACCTTATTTTAGTTACATAATTTAATTAAATAGTATGTAAACCAAGGAAATACAAATTGCTATTCCCCTGAAACTAAAAGTTTCAGACAAAATAAAAGCCAGTTGTAAAAAAAAGAAATTAACTGGTAAGACATGGGAGATACAACAATAGAACATTGGAAAAAGGGAGGAAGAGTAAAAATCTAGAAAAGTCTACAATTCCATTGCTTTAAGAATGTCTAACTTCTCCTTCCATTTAAGAAAACAGAAGCTAGAACTTGTAGATGATGAATCTGTTGCCTCTATGATAAAAAGGTTAACAATGAAATACCTGATAGTAAAAAAAAAGCTACACAATAGTGGAGTCATGTTCAACAAAAAGATACTGGTTCCATAATAAAATATTAGTAAATTAATATACATTTGCATGTTTTAAGTTAAAATATTTGAGATGCAAATGTGTCATTTTTTAATGATTTCCCCCATGTTAATCCTTTTTCCTTTATCTCCTCAACTATGAGAATCATAAAAAGACTCTTAACTACAAAGAACAAACTGATGGTTACCAGGGGGAGGGGAGTAAGGTGATTGGTTAAGTAAGTGTTTGGGATTGTTGTGATGAGCACCGGGTGTTGTATGGGAGAGCTGAATCACTAAACTGTACATTTGAAACTAATATTATACTGTACACTAACTAACTGGAATGTAAATAAAAGTAAAAAAAAAAAAAAACACCAATAAGAAAATGACAGGTGAACATACTACTTTCTCCCACTGGAGTCTCTGGAAAGTGAGTTGTGGAAGCAGGTCTTTGGGCAGCAGTTCCATGACCACCTCACCTAGCTTCTCAAGCACCATCCCAAAGCCAAGATCCACAAAGGCTGACAGGTGCTCCACTGCACTGATCCACCACAGGTCTCTACCCAGTAATTCTGGATCCACCAGCAACAACAAACCCAGGGAACCATCAAACATTCCACCTAGAGCCCTACCAGCAAGTGCACTCATGGATTGCTTCTTGGCTATTTGATCAGGGATGGGGGAGAGGGATTGGTAAATATAATGTGATTTACTCTCTTACTATTTAATTATTCTTCTAGATCTCTTTCTTACTGTTCTTATATCAATATAAAATTAAAATATATTAAAATGTGTCAATCTAAAGAAAAAAGGCAATTACAATACGGAAGAGAGTAGACATTTAATTTAGGAATCCAGAGGACAAATAGGAAGAAGAAAGGCTGATTTTGGTTTAACATAAAGAAGAACTTTCCCTTTCAAATTAGGGAATGTACCCTAGTAGCATCACTCAAGCTGCTGAGCTTGTTTAGGATATTAAGTGATTCTTTCAACATCCATTTTCTAAAAGTCTTCTACGAGTAGGCATTCAGTCGACAAAAAATATTAATACAGTTCCCTCTCTCAAGGCACTCAGGGTTCCAGCAGGAGATATAGACCTATGAGCAAATAATAAAACTTTAAATATAAATATCACAAATGCTCATGCCAAAGTAATGGTTCTAGGGAGAAGGAGCTAGATGGCAGAGGCGTAGGAGACTGAGATATCATCAGGTCCCAGGAGTCCAGCTAGATTATTATCAAACCATTCTGAACACCAACATATTCAACAGGAGATAGAAGAGAGGAAGAGCAGCAACACCAGGAACAGAAAATCCACCACTTTCCAGAAGACAGGATGTAGGAAGAAGTGAATCCTAAATGATGGGACCATAGACCTCTGCAGGGAGGGGCCAGCTCCTGGCAACTAAGAGAGCAGCGCAGCATAAAATTAGAACTTTTAGAAGTCTGGACGTCACTCCAAAGGCTAAGCAAGGGGTGGAGCCCTCGCTGGGTCAGTGTGGTCTCAGGACCCACGGGGTCATGGAAAGACACGGGGTGTCTGAGTGTGGTAGAGGTCCCAGGTAATGGAGCACGGTAAATGGCAGCAGAGACAAAGCTGAGCAGTGGGCTCTCATCTTGGGATTAATATAAACCATGATCCAAGGCACAGTTGTACCACTGCTTTTTGAGCAGGGATCCCACAAGCAGCAGATCCAAGGAAGGGAGACCCCCTCCTTCATCCTCCAGAAGGACCAGTGCAGGAGGGTGCTGCAGGAAGCTCCAAATGGGTTTGGAAACTCTAAATGGGGCCGTTCGCCTGAGATAAAAATACTAAGTCACAGGCTGGGTGAGCTCAAAGTGCAGCTGGAGACCAGGGAGATGGGAGGGATTGACTGCTTTACTTTGAGGGCGCACTGAGGAGAGGGGAACCTGAGTTAGCTCCTGCAGAGCCAGAGATTGGGAGGCCTCCATCTTCATTCTATCATTCAAAGTTGTACAGAAAGTGTTCAGGGAACAAAAGCTCCTGAGAGCAAACCCAAGCAGATTACTTAGCCTGGCCCCTGGTAAGGGCAGTGTAATTCCAAGTCGGGCAAAGACATTTGAGAATCACTGCAACAGGCCCCTCCCCCAAAAGATCAGCAAGAACACCCAGCCAAGACCAAGTTCACTACTCAATGCGAACTGCAGAACTCCAGACCTAGGGGAAAGCAACACATAGAATTCATGGTTTTTTTCCCCATGAACCTTTAGTCTTTCAAAGTTAAATTTTTTAAATATTTTTTTTCTTATTCTACTTTTTTAATTTTCCACTTTCCTATTTTAATGTTTTTAACTATTTTATCTTATCAACACCTTTTCAAAAATATCTTTTAATTTTCATTGTTATATTCATATTTTATCCCTTCATTGTATTTAACCTTATTTCTTGTATACATATAGGTCTTTTTTTCCTTAAAATTTTG